CTTTCAACTCAGCTTTATTTACTGAATGAAAGGAGGAGCCCAAATACCTCAGCTCCAAGCAAATATAAAGGAAAAGATTAATTTCTAATCTCAATGAAAAAAAAAATAGGGGAAGATGCTGTTTAAGATAGAGGTGTGTCTTTATCAATTCAAATCTTTTAATATTCAAAGACATGTGAAGCAGAACATTAGCACACTACGACTTCATCAACTTTCTGAAGTCTTAAACACATTTATTACAAACACAGCCAATTTTAAAATCAAAGTTTACACAAGTAACTGAAATTAAAGAGTTAGGCCTGGATCTTCATTCCTGTTCACTCGTGCTAAGCAGCATCAAGATCAGTAAAATATCTAAACATTGTGATTTTCAATCTACACAGTCACCAGCAAGATACAAGCGTGGAAGGAAAAAGATCTCTCTGAAAAATCTGCACAAAGGCAGGTTTCAGAGTAAAAATCCCAGCCTGATAGTAAACAGGATAACGTCATGAAGAGGGTTCTGCTTGTTGGGTTTTTTCCTCCACCAGACTGAGGAATCAAACATTTCTCATCAAAATCCAGCAAAATAAATTACAAGGTAGAATATTTCACATGGGGACTGACACACTACAAGTGTCTGCTATACATCTTCCACACATATATATTCATGTGACTGCTCATCCCCCATCTCAGACATGCCACTCCAGCATTTCAGTACAGAATACATCTCCAGCCTTGTTGGGAGGAATGTTTAATTTTAGACTAGCAGAAGTGCTTCTTTACACACAGTTCAAACTGTAAATACAAGTATCGCCAGAGGGCACTCTTTCAATTCAAGTGACCTAGCTTCAGCAAACTTCTGAGCAAGACTGCAGACAACCTACAGGCAGGGATGTGCAGAGGTTGTACAAAGCAATAATAGTTTTGCTTCTGCAAGAGAAGTCCCTTTTAAAAAAACAAAAAAACAAAAAAAAAAAAAAAACAAAACCAAACGTAAATGAAATTTAATTATTTATCCCAGAAATGTGAAATATTTTTTCAGAGTAACCAGAGTCACTCACTACTAGTAAAGATCACAAGTAATTACTAATATCTATACTATGTTATTCTGTGGTATTTGATTGCACCGGTTCACCCAGGCAGTTCTGGCACATGTAGATCCTATCAGTTTACAAAAGCAGGGTCCAAGCTTATGTGGAGGTGCCTATGGAAGCCCTCTGGCTATATCATCACAGATAATAAACCTTACAATAATATGTGAAAAAAAATGCATCTATGTTATCAAGAGACAGCTCTGGGAAACAATATATTTTTCCACTCCTCGCTGTTCTGTATTTAATATTGTTTTAAGAGGGTCAAAATTTAAACCATTTGCATGAAGGTAACACAAAAGTATTAGTAATTTCAGCAGTTTTCAACCTTTGGTCCATGTATTACTTCTAACGGCCTGCTGAGACCTAATAAAGATTTAAAAAAAAAAACAAACTGGTAAGTTGAAGTTCATTAAACAAAAATGTGCACAACCACTGAAAAACACAACAGATGTATATATCAAAAAAGACTGCAAACCACTGTTTGACGTGAATAGAAAATTAAACCCATTTTGCTTTGAAACAAACCATCACCACAGTACTACTAAAATCAAGTCAGCAACAGAGGCAGGCAGCTATAAGAAGAAAATGAACATTGTACATCCTATGGCATTCTCCAGTCTTGAAAGAAACTCAAAAACTGTAGGCCTACAAAACCTTTGATTGCCTGCTTACCCACCTGCCCCATTTTAAAATAAAAAGCCTCCATCTCTTCTAGCCGTCTGTGATAGCAAAGCCCCCTACTTTAGTATAAAAAGAGAAAGGGGGGAGGGCGGGAATAAGATCTGTGCAAAGGCACCTTTTGTCAGTACAGGGATCACTCAAATAGATAAACATACCGACAGAATTTCACCGGGCCAGTAATTACTATTAAAAACACAGGGACAAGTTACTTCAAACTACTACCTATAATCACCAGTCATCTTGGTTCAAAACATATCTATAGAATTGCTTTTCCAGCAGCTGCTGCCAGAAAATAAATATGTCAAACGCTCCCGATGTCAAACAAACAAAATCTATTTATCCACCCCCCCAAAGCAGACCCCTGCCTACCGCAAGGCAACGCGCTCCCGGTGCTCCGAACTTACCCCGTTTCAGGTAAGAGAAACGCTAGGTCGTCTCGATACCCTGAATACCATTCCCACCCCCACTGGTGTGCTCTGACCCACCCCAGGGTCACGGTGACTCGGCCCCCACTCCGCGGGAAGGTGCCCCAGCCCGCCGGGGCAGGGCTGACTGGAAGGCGATATCTCCCAGCTACAGCCACCGCGCCAAGCCCCCCCCCCCCCAGCCCTCCGCGCTCCGCCCCGGCCTCCCTCAGGCCCCACCGCGGCGCAGAGCCCGCTGACCCACGCGGGAACGCGGTTCTGCCCGTCCCCACGCGCACAAAGTACCCCACCTCGTCCGGTCTGCGCTTAATAGCAAAGTGGGGCGGGAGGACCTTCACACACACACACACACACACCCCTCCCTCCCTCCCATCCAGGCCACAACCTGCTCTCCGTCCCCTCACACAGGTAGCGGCGGCGGGGGTGGATAAACGACCGGAGGCGCGCTGCGGGCTGACTCCGCAGCCGCGCATCCCTCCATCTTGCAGAAAGGCCGGGGGATGTGGGGGGGGGTGGAGGGGGGCGGGGGTGTCTCCGGGCAGCGCCGTCACCCTCAGCACACACAAACACACAGCCGAGCCGCCAGCCCGGCCCGCGGCGGGGAGGGGGGAACGGGCCACCACCCCCGTGGGGAGGCGGGCGACAGGTGGGCGGCGGAGCGCAGGGCTGGGTGAGGAGCCGGCCCGCGGCGGGGAGCCGGGTGGGGGCCGGGACCCTCCCCGGATCTGGGAGGGGACGGCGCGCCTCCAATCCCCGGCCGGCAGCCGGGGCCCGGGGTGAAGCCTCCTTTCTTTCCTCCGAGGAGCCGGACAATGAGGGCACAAACACACACACACACACACCCCCCCCCCCACCTCCCTCCGCCGGCCGCGGGGCTCCCTCCTTCTTCCCGCGACTGCCCGGCTCACCTGCGATGGGAGCGGGGGCGTGAGGGGAGGGGGGTGGGTGGGGGGAACGGGGATGAGCGGAGCGGGGGGCGGGCGAGGACGGGGGAGCCGCTCCGGCTGCTGGAGGGGGGCTGCCGGGCTTCTCCTCCCCCCCCCCCCCCCTCCCCTCCCCGCACTCCGCGGCCGCGCAGCTCCGCGCCCCGTTCCAACCGCCTCCGGGTTGCGCTGCTGCGGGGGAGCCGGCCGCGCGCGCAAGCACGCACGCGCACACACTTACACACACGCGCTCGCGCGGGGGGTGGTGGTAGAAAGGTATTGGGGGGGGGGGGGGGGGGGGCGTTGTAAGGCGCGCGCGCGGCGCCTGCGCAGAGCACGACCGGCGCCGGCGCTCCGCCACACTTGGAGGCGGTGCGCCAAGGGGAGCCCGTGCGCATGCGCAGGTGGCGGCGGCACTCCTCCTCTTTCCTCCCCCCCCCCGCTCCCTTCCCTTCCCGCGTTGCCGTAGCGACGGGGCGGCCTCGCTTTGAGGCGTGTCCCTCCCGCCCCCTCAGCCCGCGCGCCGCTCCCTTCGCACCGGGCCGTGGCACCGGGTTCTGTCATTCCCACCCCCCCGCCGCCCTCGTGGGGCTCCCCACGGGGATCACGGCCACCCCACCACTTCCCCCCCACCCCCGGCGGCTGGGCTGAGCGCTGGGAGCGGGCGGCCACCCCCATCCCCCCCACAGACACTGCCAGTGAAAACGAGGGGGAACAGGAGGCGCGAGAAGACGAAGAGCTCTTAGGGAGCCGTCGGTCTTAGGAAAGACAACCGAGGCAAGGAATGGGACTGGCTCAAAAGTAAAAGCATTACACTGAAATTCATTCATTTAGAAGGCACGCGATGCAAGGACTTTCTAGATTTTTCCTCTGCTCCCACAAGCGCTGGGAAGTTACTAGCCTACAAGAGGAGCGCAAGGCCTTCCAGGGTGTTTGCATAATTTCAGGAGTGAAAGCTCTCAGAACACCACCCGATGTTGCAAGAATTGCCATAAAGTTGCAGGAGTTGGCAATGCTGCTGTCATGGAGACAGCATGTGGCATCGCCCACTTTTCCATTTACGGCCCCTGCCAGGGAGGCTCCAGTCCCAGTGAGTTATTACAATAATTAACAGCTAGCATTTATGCATATTCAGAATGCTTTGCAAACAATACCTAATCTCATTAATTTGTGAATTGACGTGTTTTCATCCTGTCGTGGAATTAGGATAGTTGCTGCTTCCTTCACATCCTTGAGAAATGGAGTCAGTAATTTGTTTGTAGACTAGATAACCCATTGCTGCTGTCCAATACATAGCCACCTGCTATGTATTTTTAAGGCAATATATAGCCATCTGCCATGATTAGTGCCTGATTTCTACGAGTGGCAGACTGGTGAGAATATAGGTGCCAGGATCCAGAGCATATTTGAGAGGTCCAGATTAAATGAGCACAGCAGGCTGGGAAGATGTTACTAGCTTTTAGAACAGTGACAGGTAAATAAGGCACGAAGAATTTAGAATTTAGAAACTGTAGGCACAAGTTTGACAGTAAAGCAGAAAGGCATTACCTTTAGGTACAGTGCCGTTTTCCTAATTTTAATAAAGCTTTGTGCCTAGAAAGAGAACATTCATTCCTCTTGTTTTTGTTTTTTGTTTGGTTGGTTGGTTTGTTTTTGTTTTTTTTTTTTTTTTTGTGGTTTGTTGGTTTTGGGTTTTTTTACCACAGTAATCTAGCATAGTGTCAAACTCATTCTGAACAAAGATAAATGAAAGGAAAAGAAAATGCCAAATGCCAACCTTCTGCAATGTTTTCAACAGACGAGTCAGTGAATGGAAAGAATGTTTCACCAGATTTGGAACCACAAGAACTTTTAACACAGAAATAAGAAAATAATATAGGAAGAAGAGGAGGGAAAAAAAAAAAAAAAAGAAGTAAAGACACCTCAGGAAGGAAGTTCCCACTTCAGAAGGGGGAAGCAAAGGTAAATTTTTTGTAAGCTATTCTTCACTATAACAATGAGATGAACTATAATGAGGAGATGAACTAGTCTGTCACATAACACAAACTTCTCAGCATTATTTACGTGGTGAATAGAGGAGTTAGGTGACACATTTTAAAAACATCTTACAAGTCTCTCATTAAATGTTTCCAGAAAAACTATGTATTCTGTTGTGAGGAAGAAGCAATGTCATAGACCAAAATTAAAAGAGATTAAACAGGAGAAATCATAGTTGTTCATAAACATGGTGAAAAGCCAAAAGAGTAAGGTATTTTAAAGGTTTTGTTGTTTTTAAGGGTATTTACAATCTAGACAAAGGGCTGTACAGAAGGAGATGACATTTGTAGAAGACACAAAATTACTCACAATTGTGGGGCAGATTGTGAAGATGCTACTTAGAGTGACCCAACTGTGTAGGAAGACAATATAGTGGCATTCAATATTGATAAATAGGTATCAATACAACACAGTACATGCTGGAGGAAAGAAATTGGTTATACATTGTAGAGTGGTTTAAAAGAAAGGTAATAGTTTAAGAAATATGCAGGCATCCTAGGCAGTAGTTCAGTAGAAATCTGTCCTCGGTATATGAACACAGTCATGCACGCAACATGTCAAGATATGAAATGCAGAAAACCAGGAACCGTTGGCTATCTTGCCATTGTTCCATATAAAAAAGAGTTTCAAAGAATAAGTGGGAATGAGAAGTTTCACAGTTAGGCTGTGAAACTGAAATGCCGCAGTTTTACACTAGAGCCCCATGTTTAGTTGCTTTTCCCTCATGATTCCAAAATATTTTCAAAGATACCACCTTCCAATACTCAGTTGCCCACCCACTCTGTACACATAGCTGACATTCCTTATTATTTTATAGGTGCAGATTTTCCCCATTATACTAAATATTCCATTTAAAATTCATTATTAGTTGAATATTGCAACAGCTGTGCTCTTAAATATTCAAATCACAGGAAGCATCAAAAAGAGAGGAAATGACTAGATGAAATGATGTGGCAAAATAGCTGGTTATAATTAAGAAAGTTGCTGTCAAAAGTAACAGGAAACTGCTGTTGCTTGTGGCTGGCAGTCTGTGAGGGAATAGGTGCAGAGGGCCAAATCCAAACAAGCATGGTTACACGAATCATTCCAAATGAACGTGGCTGAAAGTCTTAACAGCTCACAGGACAGGACACTTGCCATTACCACTTTCACTTGAGAGAACAAATTTAGAAATGGCCTATGTCTAGCCATCCTGCAAATAAGTACTCTTCTGAATAATTATTTGCTATAGATCTCAGAAGTTTCGGACATACTTATCTCAAATTTTAGTAGCAACGATTATTTGTGTAATTCACTGCCCAGTAAAGAAGCTACACTTCTCTGCAAGAGTGTACCTGGCTTCACCGTACATAGAGATCCCTCAAACTATATAGGATATAACACTTCCTTTTGAAAGCAACAGCTTGCATCTTCAACATTATTTACCAACTGAGAGGATGGAAATTTATCCATATATTTCTGATTTCACAGATCACAAACGTTTTTCCATTAGGCAACATAAAATGTGTATGCTTCCATACACAAACTGAAATATGTTTGCAGGAGCAGCTGTAATGAAATGTTAAGACTGCAATATGAAGCACTTGCTATTGTAAAATCTAAGCCTATAAAAATGCCAGCAGAGTACAATCACTGTTTATTATACTTTCATTAACAGATGAGAGTATAAGAATTTTAGATTTAAAAAATCATAATGTAAGTTACCTTACTGTAATCAATTTTTCTTGTATAGATTACAATATAAATTATTCTAAAAAATTTCAAGAAAAAAGAAAAATAGTATTTTATTATGACTGAACATACCATGCTGCATACAAAGCTCTGGGATTAAAATTATACATTAATATAAAATCAAATTAATTTTGTTGCCTATCGGCCAAGCTTCATGAATACTGCAGAAAAAACACTTCTTAATCTTGTTTTGGTAACTAATGATTTGAAAGAGTATAGCTTACTTTTTGGCACTTAGTTAGCACTTCATTAATTACTAATTACTTGGCACTAAGTAAAGTTCTTCTAACATTGCCTGAATCTATAAACATTTATTATCATAAAAAGTCATTTGTTAAAATCAGTTTGATAGGAGATGTCCCAACCAGATAACTGCTAAAGCATATAGTTCGCTAAGGAATAAGAATATAATAGAAAATATTTTATTTATATAGCCTGTACGTACTATTTTCTATTCCTACTTTTTGACCAAGTTATTCTGTGAGTCTAGCTGCAATGAATTCACACAGTACATTAGGCTGAGAGATGCTAAAGAAATGTAAAATATCGCTAAATTCTTGTCAATTTATAAGAACAAAATTGTATAATTTTCTGTAGAAACTGTGTAATCCTATCTCAAGACTGCATCCCAATGCTGAAGCACAATTGTGGTACCTGCCACCTCAATTTTGTTGTTTCCTGATTTTGTAGTGCTTACCTCTACAGATCTGGCTTTATAAATGCAGTGCTTTACGCTGTGCAATTAATATCCGAGTTCTTGTACGGTAGGTAGTCTGTGACATTTATCCCTACATATTCCTCCTTGTTTGATCTGTGGTTCTCTGTGGTGCCTTTGCCTTTGTTATAGGTAAAATAGGAGTCTGAACCAGACAAATACAATATTGCTGTAACTATCACCATCTTCCTCCTTCCTTTTGGAGGATGTTATGCTTAATTCATAAAACACATATTATGTTCTACCCTTTAATAAGGAGAATGAGCTTCCTAATTCAATCATAAGAAAATGGAATTTTCTGCTGGTTCAGTTAAACTTGAACTAAGCTTGAAAAATAGTCTAATGGATAAAAATGTCCTTACCAGAGAAATCTGGTTCAGATAGACACCAGGCACCCTACATGCTTAGAGTTTACAGCTGAAGGAAGAAAACATTACCAGGAATGCTTTACTGAATTGTGGATGTGAGCTCCACAGCTGCTCTAATTCAGTATATTCAACTGATGTGCTAATATTTGCTCCTAAAGGTATTGTGATTAATGCTAGAACACCTCCTTAGGTATACACGTCTACTTGTTTCGCAGTTCCATTGCTAATAAAGGGATGAATTGGAATTATAACAACATAATAGCAGTCTGATCTGGTTCTGGGGTTTTCGTAGTATTTTTAAGATCACAACTTTGTAAAGAGTGTATCCAAACAGCAGCTTCTGAATTTACCCAAACATCCATGTAAAAATATATAAATAAAATGTGTGTGTATACACACACACACACACACACTTTAAGAGGACTTCCTCTTTACATCTGCAATGCATTGTTTTCCCAAGGTCAACAAAGGTTCTTCCACACGTCTCAGCAGCGAGGAAGCTGCACACAGATAACATGTTGTTTCCTCCCTGTCTCTCACGCAACCTACGGATTTTTCCCCAGGAAGAGAATACTGTTCTTTACTGTGTTGCCTTCCTACGCTCCAGATGCACGAAAGTCAGAAACATACTTTATGTTAGAGCCCTAAGAGGAGCTGTTTGCGACAGGGACGATGCTGACAGTACCGGGGAGGGAGCTAGAGGCAAAGAACGGATTGGCAGCACAGAGGCTGAATACAGATGTCCTTCTTTTTCTGCTTTCCTAGTACCCCTGTACATCACAGGAGACAGCACGTCATTAGAGACAGCACTTGTAAACTGCTTAGTGGAAGGCAAACACCATTTTTTATGCTGTATAAATATAGATCTACACATTTTCCATAAAGAATGGAGGTGCTGGGATGCCTACATGATTTATGCACAGCATGGAAGTAGCACAAACATGATGATTTACAACAGGTTTTAATGACTGTCTGAAAGGGAAAGATCCCAAATATGGACAACAGCAACTGTTAATTGAAACTAGTAATATTTCATCTATGTAAACAAAGTAATGATCACGTCTGCCACAAGACTTCAAGAGATTTATCTTCCAGGCTCCCTAATAAGGTTACATCTGTCCCCTGCTTAAATCCTATGTTCTTGCCATCTGCTCCAACACACTTTTTTCAACCTCAAACAATGATTAAACAGCTATTTGGAGAAGAAAAGAAGTCTTTTTCAATTTTTGAGCAAAATATTTAACAACTGGGAAAAAGTTAAAAAACCAGAACCACACACCCCCCCCTTGGATCTCCATGATTTCTGTGACATGAAATGTTATTAGTGAGATGCTCAACTTAAGTTTCCAGGAATCTTTACATTTAAACATACAACAGGGAATATTGCACCTACAGATTCAATGTAGTTTCATTATAAAGTGTAATAAATTGGGAGCAGATTAAGTTAACAGCATTCAGTTAACCAGTCAGATTGTCACAAGAGGTAACATTATATGGGCAAATCAGGAAGCATTCTGCTTTAAAAAGAAGGAAACTTCCTAGAATTCTTCAGCGGCGCAGTGGGAAGCCTAGCCAGTTGTGCTTGTTTGAGATGTGCTGTGTACTTACCTCTCCATGTCCAGACGTAAAGGAAGGGGAAGGATGGAGCCATAGCTCACTCTTTTTTTCTGTATGAGGAGAACCAAAGAAGAGCAATTTCCTAGATCCTGTGCTCCTGCCTTCTAGGCAAAACTGCAGCCTGCCTGGTTCTCATGTGCAACATGTTAATTAAGGAAGCACTTTACTCTGCATCCATCATCCACTGTAGTCACAGAATGGTCAGTCACGATCCATCTCTTAGCACTTATTGGGGGCCTTGAAATTCTTGAAAGGTATTAGAGATGTACTGAGCATCTTGTTACAGTAGAGGTGTAATGCCATGATAACACTGTGATAAGCATACTAAAAAAAAATTACCTCATCCCTTCTCTAGGAATTTCCTCTAAATTTTTTTAGACTGTTTCTTCCTCCTATATACAAGAAATTATGGATTTCACCTCATCATTCCCCTGAGCTTTATAGGAAGTAATTGGGCTCGGTACCTATGCTTTTCAGTCTTTGCTCTTTTGGCT